GAAGTAGTATCTCAAAGATTAAAAATATGAATCTATTAGCAAAATTCCAGCTTTGAGTTGCCACACAATTCAACCTACAACTTTATACCTAAGAAAGGCTCTGCTAGCATGTCACCCAGCTTCTTCACTCCAAACCAAAAGTATTCTTTCTTTGCACAAATTAATTGCTCCTCCTCCTACACTTCTTAACTAAGGTGCATCTGATCTTTCCATCCTCTTCAAATTAAAGTTCTATTGTTTAAAAACACTATAATTTTTCCCATGTTGTCTCTATCCCATTAAACTGAATAAATACAGTCCGAAAGATGCTCAATAGGTAAAGAAAGGTGCCTGTTACCAGGCCTGACAGCCTAAGTCCTATAACTAATATCCACATGGTCAGAACCAAATCCCAAAAGTTGCCCTTTGACCTCAGCATGTTTATGCCCCCCCCCCCACACACACTATATAAATATAGTAACATATGTTCATATTTTACTTTAAACCAAAGCAGTGAGAACTCCCAAGTGAATACCAAGTGAACATGCTCGATGTCAGGGAGATATACTCTAAACTGCCTTTTAAGCATTGCTGGAGCTACCGGATATCCAGTTCCCAAGAATTAAAAAGGAAAAACAACAACAACAAAAAAAAGACTTCCAAAACATACCCTGAGCCGGACAGAAACCAATAACATAATCCACACAGACTATGCCAAAATGTAAACTTCTACTAAATAAACATACCACAAAAAGAAAAAAAGTAATCAAAGACAGAGGAAAAGGTATTTTCATATCATAAATCTGATAAAGAATTCATGTGGACAACTCTCAAAACTCTAATTTCCAGAGTAGCAGAATATGATGTAATCCAGCATCTGGGATGCCGATGTAGAAAAATCCAAGGTTAAAACTTCCTAAAATATACAGCCAGTTCTTCTCACTGTGGAGGAAAAAAAGAGGAAGAAGAGCAAGAGAGAGAATGAAGAGGGGGGAAGGGAGAAGGGGGAAGATCATAAAAAAAAAGAAGATTATTTGAACACTCAACCTCAAAAAGGCACAAGAAAGAGCCGGGCGTGGGAGTGCACAACAGAGGCCAGCCTGTCTACAAAGCAAGTTTTCCAGACAGCTAGGGCTACACAGAGAAATCCTGTCTTTGAAAGCGGAAAAAGAACACATGAAAAAGAATTCTCAGTATCATAAGCCCATTAGGAAATTTTTATTCAAACCACAATGAGGCAGTGGCGGCATCTGCCTTTAATCCTAGCTCTCGGGAGACAGAGGCAAACAGATCTCTGTGAGGCCAGCCTGATCTACAGAGGGAGTTCCAGGACAGACAGAGTGCTATCCAGAGAAACTCTGTCTCAAAAACAAAACAGCAACAACCAAAAAACCCACAGTGCTAAGACAGAACACATCAAGGGTGTTCCTTCAACAGCAAGATACCCACGGACTATATTATTCAGTCACTAGACTCCTCAGGGCTCACCTGAAAGCAGAAATAAATGCGTACCAAAGGTCATATATGTTTACAAACATTTTATTTTTATTCATGCAACAGTATAGGTGTGGAGGTCAGAGGACAATTTTCAGGAATCCGTTCTCTCCTTTTACCTCATGAGTCCCAGAGACTGAGTGCAGGCCATCAGGCTTGATGGCAAGTGCCTTTATCTACTGAGCAGCTTTATTTTATGATAACTATCTAGAAATATCCCAATTGTTCATTAAACCATTAATGAAAGCCTGGCATGGTGGTGCACACCTTTAATCTCAGCTCCTGGGAGTGACAGACAGGTTGATCTTAGTGAGTTCAGGAGAATCATTCTACATAGTCAGTTCCAGGCCAACCAAGGCAACACAGTTCAAAACAAACAAATCCTGGGTGTGGGGGGCAAATAGATATATGTGCTTGATACCAAAAGAATACTTCCTAGCAATGAACTTTTTGGGAAATGAATCAGTTTACATTAATATAATCAGTTTACAATTAACATAGGCATGGTGGCACAGGCCTGTAATCCCAGCACTCAGGAGGCAGAGGCAAGTGGACATCTGTGAGTTCAAGGACAGCGTGGTCCACAAAGTGAGTCCAGGACAGCCAAGGCTACACAGAGAAACCCTGTCTTGAAAACACACACACACACACACAAATAATTCAATGGTTCATAGTAGAGATGCCACAATTATAATCCAACAACAAAAAAGAAGTGTACTAGTAATACACACTAAAATATAGATGATTCCATAATTAATTGTACTCAATTAAAAAGCTACCTCCCAAAAAAGTACTCATTACATACCATTTATATAATTCTAGAAAATATGTTTTATTTTATGATATCAGAAAATGGGTCAGTAGCTGCCTACACTTGGGGAGGAGATAGAAGAGAATAGATAACAAAGGAGAGGCAGGACGACAGGGTGAGACAGTAACACCAGACACTGAATGAAGAACTAGTAAACCAGGACAGACTGTGTCATCAAGAGAGACTGAAGAGCTTCAGAAATCACAAGGTGACAGGATGGCTGAGAAGAACAAGAAACGATAGAAGACTCAGCGGGAAGAGTAGAGTGTGGCACAAGGGGAACAGAATTCTCACCCAGCAGGTGAGGCCGTCCAGGCAAAGCTGATGAAGTCCTACAAGAGCACAGGCGCACAAGCCTTAATGCCAGGTGAGTGATTTGGTGTGATGAGTCATTCTGTGGGCAGGTCAGCACCGTGGCCCTTGGCCTTAAACCCAGGGTAGGCAAATGCTCTGACCACTGAGGTATACGTTCCTAGACCTTTTCTTTTTTTTAAGGTTCTTAAAATTTATCTGCTACAGACAAACAGTAACATATTTATAGATTCGAGGACTCTAGTCATATCAAAACAGAGAAGTGAATAGGAATTTAAACTAAATAATATCCATATGGTGGTCATTTTTGAAGCTAAATGATAAGAATATTTTATCTCATACAATACTGTATACATTAGAAATTTTTATAATGAAAACTACAATAGCAGATCAAATTACTTTGTGTTTTCTATACAGATATAAGCATCGTGATTATTCAAGTTCTTTATTTAGAACTTCCATTTACTCAAGTCAATTCTGTTCGCATTTCTAGTATAACATGATCAAACCGGTCTGTACCTAAAGCACATTAAAAACTGCTGACCTATTAATGACAGCCACTCAATTCTGACCCACAGCTGCTCTCCTTGCCGTACACTCTTGCCTTATGCCATTCTGTGCTCAGCACCTTCCCAAACTGTGACTCACCCTTCACTAGAACAACTGTCTCCTCCAGGGCACTTCCCCAAGCACCTGCAGCGCCCCACTCCTCGTCCACTCTCCCCTCTCCCCAGCAATCTTACACTCACAGCTGGACAGGGTTTCGCTATGTAGCTCTGGCTGTCCTGGACTCACTTTGTAGACCAGGACAGCCTTGCGCTCAGAGACCTGCCTGCCTCTGCCTCACCCAAGTGCTGGGATTAATGGCGCTGCACCACTGCACCTGGCTGATAGCTCTTCTATTTTTTTTTTTTTTTTTCAAACAGACTGAATTGTCTGAACTCTTTTTCACTGAGGTGTCGGGGGGAACCAGGGATCAAACTCATATTGTCAGGCTTGCAAGGCAAGTGCTTTCACTGGCTAAGTCATCTTGCCAGCTCTATCTTTGCTTTTACAAATAACCATCTACAGAACTGTCTTCTTCTATAAGACATAAGTGTTACTGCAGCTGAGAACATAACAGTTATCTTTACACTCCCACAGTAGGAATCTATTAAGTACCTATATTAAGTACATAAACATGTTATCAACATTGCCTCAATCAGCTTTTGCTTGGCCTCCATATGTAAGTTCTATAAGAAACGTATTTGAGTTTTCATACACTCCCATCCAGACTTAAGAGAAACAAAGATTCAGCAGCAGCAAATGGTACCCAACCTAAGCTTATTTTCACATTTGTTCAAAAAAATACTTCAAAGTATTAAAGGTTATGCCCTATCATTGTTAACAGAATCAAAACAAGACCTCTAAAGATTGGACATAAGAGTCGAAAACAATTGTGTGTTCACATGTGTGCACGTGAGTGTGAATATTCACATATGCATGTATGTGTATACAGGAGGAAGCAGGTATCATTCAGATGTACATGTTCAAGTACATGTGTGAAGGAGGCTTGGATAGCTCCATTGGTAAGGCCCCTGAGCCTGAATCTGAGAGTCCAGGGTTCACGTCCCAGCTACCTTTAGATGTAGCCCATGGAAGTTTAAGAGTGCCTCAGACTGTGACTCAGAATTAAAAAAAAAAAAAAAAAAAAAAAAAAAAAAAAAAAAAAAAAAAAAAAGAGCATCAAGTACATTTCTGAGTGCACATGTGTGTTTGTAGAGGCCAAAAGTCAATCTTAGGTTAGTCCTTGAGTCTGTCCACCTTGCTTTTTGGCTTCCCAGCAAACTTAGGGTATACCTGTCTCTGCCTCCCTAGTGCTGAGATTACAAGCACATGCCACCATGTCTGGCTTTTTACATGCTTGCATGGCAAGCACTACCAACTGAGCCACATAAGAGTTCATTTTTAATGAAGAATTCCAATTTCATTTTCTATACAGACAGCTGTATTTTTATCAACTGTATTTAAAACACAGACATGTATACTATAAAATGTGAAGGAAGAAGAAAAAGGAGGTGGAGGAGATGGAGGAGAAGAAGAGAAAAGAAGAAGAAGAAGAGGAAGAAGAGGAGGAGGAGGAGGAGGAGGAGGAAGGAAGTCCTGTTTATTAAAATATCCAGGAACTCAGAAAAGTCCAAAGTAAACAGTGGGTGGTTTCTGTCAGGGTCAGAGGACGAGTGTGCGCACCCAGGAAGCTCTCACCTACTGCTTTTCAAAGGTTTGCTTCATCTGTTTTTGGAAAAAGGATTATTAAGTATTCCTTCTAACTCAGAAAACATGATAGAACCTTTAAAAGCTGTGCTTCTGGTTATGCTATTTATGAGAAAGCTTAACTATGACACTATTTTAATATTACTCTTACCAGATTTAAGACCTGATATTTTGAAGATGGCACTTGGCTTCCCATTCGTGACAAATCCTAGGAGCTGCCACACTGGCACCCCATTTGAGTCAGGATAGGAAAAGTAGACAGATCCTCCCATCCCCTCAGGAAATGGGATTGTTCCCAGCATAAAAACCACGACATGGTTGATATTTTCATAATCAGGCAAGTCAAAAACAAATTTATCCTCTGCCACTTGCTGTGCAGCTGTTTGCACCTAGAAAATAAGAAACCAGTCTTAGTTTAGGAGTTTGACAAGTTACTATAACCTTATTACTACTACAAACTGTCCCCAGTATAGACTACTACAGGTATTACAGTTAATATAATGTTATCAGCCTAATATTCTAATTACAAAACCACCACCAAATGTGTCAAAAAATAAAATACAACACCGTATGTTTAGCCTTAAAATGCTTACTTAAAAAGACTTGGGGCATGGGAGGGGGGCAGGGTTAGTCTCTGCTACACAGCAAGTCTGAGGCCACCAGACTACACAAGCCTCCATCTCAAATACAAAGCCTTGTAAAAATGAAAGTGTGAGATTGACCCACCAACTACAGGGCCTGTGTGGGACTGACCTAGGCTCTCTGCACACGTTACAGTTCTGTAGCTTGGTCTTCTTGTGGGACTCCTAAGTGGAATCAGGCCTGTCTCTGACTCTGTTGCCTGCTTCTGGGACCCTTTTCTCTTACTGGGATGCCTAGTCTTTCTGCAACTTGATATACCATGGCTGGATGATATTCATGGGAGGCCTGACCTTTTCTGAAGACAGAGGAGTGGATTGGGGGTTGGGGGAGAACTGGAAGGAGAGGAGGCAACTGCACTGAGGATGTAAAAATAAACGGAGAGAAAAGTGTGTTCAAAAGAACACTACTAGGATTTTATCCTCAATCTGAAGGATAGAGGGTGAGGTAATTAAAATGGGCACTCAATTACTCTAAGATTCTGATTTTGCAAATTCAGCCACTAAAATTTATTTATAACCCAAAGCCAAGGCTTGTAAAATTTCTCCGTTCACCAACATTCTGAGGGGCAAAACAGCAACAAAACACATTAAGGTACCTTACCAAAACCATTTCTGGATAAAATCAAACAAGGCTGTGTTTTGCCTTGTTTCAGCCTCCATGTTGTGAGCAAATGTCCTTTTTGCAATCTATTGGGTGCCACCTTTTCTACTTTGCACTTTTGAAATTTAAAATGGTTACACTTTATAAAGTGCTTCTGGTGTTTCTACTTGCAAGATTACGAAATGCCTCCACAGAAAAATACATTGTTACACTTTTCTTCAGGTATGAGGTAGAATGTTTAGGTCATTAGTTGAATACTAATCAAGCAACAATGTTTTTTGTTGAAAACAGGATATTGCTATGTAACTCTGGCTGGCCTGGTCTTGGCTAATGTAAACCTCCCACACCCCTTCTGCTAGCCTAGAAGACACAGTAACTCTTCAGCCTGAAGTACTGAGATTGAGTTGTATTCTATCACTCCAATAATACATAGCATTTTAAATACAAATACATAGGAAACAAAGGAATGACATGATGTTTAAAAAAATGCTGGGATCAGGCTGTGAAACAGATAGACAGATGGATGGAAAGAAGAAAAATGCTGAGAGGGGTAGGGAGAAGGACTAGGAAAAGAGGGAGGGGAAACAGCAGCTGGATGTAAAGTTAATTAAAATTCTAAAAAATTAAAAACAAAATTTTTAATTTCTGAAACCAAATTGTCTCAAGAACCTAATCCTGCTGTTCAACTGGTTGCAAAGATTAGCATTTGCCTTTTAGTCTTCCAAGTAAAGAAAACTTTACTTTTGGGAAGAACAGGAACTGGTGGTAAACCAGGTATTTTGGCACACACATTTTGGAAGGAGCCAGGAGATTCAGGAAATCATGGCCAACCTTGGCTATATAGCAAGTTGGAAGTATCATGAGATCCTGTGGGGTTGGGTGGGGGCTGCTGGTTGTACATAAAAACCTATCTTTATATTGATTGATATTGCTGAATCTATACACATCACAAAAAAGAAATAGCAATTCTCAGAAGTCTCAGGTAAATAAACTGTCTAAATTTTAGCTTATATAAGATGAAGGGTTTTTTTTTTTTTATTTTAGTTTGGGTTTCTGGATTTATTGTAATTGCTATTCATCAAAAGAACAAATCATAACTATTCGGAAGACTAAACATTCTACTTATTTACTTATCTACATTTTGACTAAGGTTTTCTCTGCATAGCCTTGACTGTCCTGGAACCCTGTGAACCAGGTCTGCCTCTGCCTCCTGAATGCTGCTGGGATTAAAGGTGTGTGCTACCACTCCCAGCCCAAATACTGAATCCTTAATGCCTGAATGCAACCAATTTTCTGTGCCCAGTATCTGCTACTAATTAAATGCTTACTTTTTCTTCTCTATAATTTTCTATCCTACCAATACAAGAAACCTTAAAAACCAGATGACAACTTAACTCCATCTATAAACTAAACCCCAAGATGTCAAAGCTCTGTGAGGGTCTCACAAAGCCCACACCATTCTCCTACTCCTTCTGCCTCTATTCACAGATGTTAGGTTTAAAGGCATGTGTCACTGTATGCAACTGGAGCTGAGTGTTAAGGCCAAGCTGATTCCCTTTCACTGACCCAACATAAAATTTACCACCATAAAAAATAAAATAAAATGAAAAGAAAAAATATAATCCAAAATTTCCTGTAGTGCTAAATTCGGTTTCACCAAGTTTTAGCACATACATATTTTTTTGGAAGGCGTGACAAACTATGGTATTCACAGGTCTGGAAATAACCGTAAGGCAAAGTATTTGTTTCAACTTTTATTGACAGGCAAAAGACATTCTGTAAATTTGTACCCACATTCCAATCCCTGCCCCTTTTAAGGATAGGATCTTATGCATGTGGCCCAAGTTGGCCTTGAGTGAGCTATCTAAGCCAAGACTGACCTCAAATTCCTCTTTCCCAAGTGCTAGGAAAATTACAGTCGTGAGCCACCATATCCAACTAGACAGGCTAATGCTTGACTTTAATTAAAACAAACAAGGTGGGAGAACCTTTCTCTTCTTTTTCTTTGGGTACTCTTTCCTTAAAGAAAAAGCCTGAGGGTTGTGGTGGCAAAGGCTTTTAATCCCAGCACTTGGAAGGCAGAGGTAGCCATATGTGAGTTGAGGCTGTTCTACAGAACAACTGCCAGGAGAGCTAAAGCTACACAGAGAAAACCTGTCTTAGAGAAATAGAAGGAGATAAAAAAAGTCAAAGAATGGAAATTAGGTTCCTAAGTTTCAATAGGTTTTTCTGACAAAAAAAAAAAAAAAAAAGCATTTAAGTTCTGAGATATTAGCAGTTCTATTTGTCCTTCACTTTATTTATGTCTAATGATATAAAATTAAAAGCCAAACATAACTCTCCCCACCCCACCCAAAATCTTGTCTTGAAGAAATATCCATTGGATATTTATCACATAAATTTGACACTGGGCAAATAAAGCAGATATTAACTGTAATTCCCTTCCAGATTAGTTCATAAAACACACAGACTCTGCATAGGGTTTTGTTTTGTTTTTGAATCTTTTAAAAGTTCTACCACTTAACTATTCGCCCAACACCTTTTTTTTTTTTTTTTTTTTTTTTTTGACACAGTCTTTTTTTTCAAATTTTTTTCTTTCCCCCCCCCCCACCCCCCCTCAGCCACACGAACAGCTAGAATTACAGGTGTGCGAGGCTGGGTTTTATTAATGACAGGCATCTGCGTACCATGCTCATCTCAAATCGTTTCTTTCCTGTTCCAACACCAGAGCCGGGACATTCCAAAAGGAGCTCACTAGTACCCCACCTTCACTGGGAACTCCCATTAGCTGGAGATAGAAAATAAGCTTTCTAACCCGAGCAGTCCGTAGTTTCTTGGAACCACGTGGTTTTTTAAGAGCAGCGTGTAGAGAATAGACTATCAAAAGCTGGTGAAAACGGATTGGGAGCAGTAGAGCGCTCGCCTACCGTGTGTGAGGCAAAATTTAACAAAGAGACTGCAATATTTAACAAAGCAGGGAGAAACGAAACAAAGAGAAATAGCTCTGAAGAGAAAGGAGCCAAATCTCAAGACGGAAATACGGATGGTTTCTAAGGGAGCAAACAAGATTCACTCTAGATTATTCTTCAACAGTTCCAGGCACGCATTTCATCTAATTCTAACGCTTTGACTAAGCAAATGCATCTCTTTGACCAATAAGGAAGCATTCCACTCGAATCCTCTAGTTATCACAGATACGGCTCAGACCTAAATTTCGGTCATTTCGGTTAGTCAACTTCCAATCATTTAAAGCATCATTTTCCACTGTGGAAAATTTTTAATTGGGTCAGTAAACTTCAGAAAAGGGGCCTTCTAAAGTCACCAACAGAAATTGCCCGGGCAATTTAAAAATCTTTGAAAAACACGCTATTAGCTTTAGATTAAACATCTCAGCTTTTCTTCTAAGTGACATTATCAATGTAAGCGCGTATTTACACTAGCTAGCGAGTGTAAGCTCCTGAGCTGCAAAGAGAGAACGACCGCCTCACGAGTCACCACGGTTAAGGCGAAATGCCAAAGTAAACGCCACAGCGGAGGCTGAAATAACGAGTAATTACAGCACTCAGCCCACTAAGGCGGAACAAAACGCGCACTCAATAATATTCAGCAACCATTCAAACAGGTCTAAGAGTTGGGCAAGCGTCCCAGTCCCCTTCTCGCACGCCCAGGACAAAAAGAAGACAATGTGCGGATTCCCCCGCGCTCCTAGCTCCGTGCACCGTGCCACCACCCGGCTCTCAATCACCGACCCCTTCCTGCCACCACCACCCGGGCCATCCTCACCAGCCTCCCCGCCACCAGGCAGCCAAACATGGCAGCGCCCTCGGCGCCTCCGCTCGGCCAGCGGGCAACTCAGGCCGGAGACCAGGGATTCCGCAGCCACTGTCCTAATTGAACTCAAGAACCTTCCAGGAGAGAACGCGCCTCTACACTACATAGCAACACGGGAACACATTCTGGCCCGGCGACCTCTGACCCTCCCTTCCAAGCCCGCACGCCTCTCGGGGAGGAGTACTTCCGGGTCTGGCGCCCGTTTCCTCCTTCTAAGGCAGCGAGGAAGAGCTGCCGTCTCACCGAGACTACAAATCCCATACTGCCGTGCGCCGGCCTCCGGGAAGGCGAGCCCGGAGAATTTGAACGGTAGTACGTGATTTTCGTGCTCTTGTGAGTCTAAGTGTGTGAGTGCGGAGTGCGAGGGGAAGGCAACCTCGTAGGAGTGACAGTACGCCTCTGCCAGAATCGCTTCACCCAGCCTCTTCCTGCAAAATCGCTGTGGGGTGAATATCTCCATTTCATACGTGAGGGAAATGGAAGTTTAGAAAGGCCTAAAACTTGACAAATCTGTGAATTTTGGAGCGCCAGTTCAAGCCATCCAGGTCCTGCGTTCTTTGGCCAAACACTACCTCAGAAGCACTTCTGTATTTTTTATCTCATTTTTATGGCAGGGTCTCATATGTAGTCCAGGTTGACCTCGAACCTTGGACCTCCTTTCTCATTCTCTAGAGAGGCTCTCTATAATTCCGTGGACAAGCGAAGCCATGGAGGGCCAGAAGTACTAATTTTTTTTTTTTCCCAAAAAGTACTAATTTGTGTTCTTGTTTATGTTTCTAGTAGTGCTTTCCAACTTCACTTTTACCCATCCTCCCCCATCTAATGTGCTGTACCTCTGTGGGCAAGCCAGACTACAGCGGCAGTCACTCATTTGCAACAGAACAGTAAACCTGTCTTTCAGGGTTGCTGGGAGGACTAAATGATAAGTTAACTGATAACCTCCACTAAAAATAGATTCTGGGATTGCTTAAGTAATGAGAGTTTTACTTTTAAATACCTTTAAAAAACAAACAACAACAAAACTAAAATTGGTGGGGCGGGGGGGGGGGGACGACTGTCTTTTAAGACAGGGTTTCTCTGTGTAGCCCTGGCTGTCCTGGAACTCACTCTGTAGACCAGGCTGACCTCGAACTCAGAGATCATCCACTTGCCTCTGCTTGGTAAGGGCTGGGACTAACCTTTGGGTTTGTTTGGTTGGTTGTTGTTTTCATTTTTGCATAGTCTAGGCTGCCCTGGAACTTGCCAGTTCAAGGATGGTCTTGCACTCCTGTACCGTCTACTACCTCCCAAGTGCTGGGATTACAAACACACACTACCATGCCTGCCTTAAATGTCCTCTTCTTTTTTTTTTTTTTTTTTTTTTCTCTCATATGCATTTCCATAAAAGGCGTATAGGAAACACAGAACAATATCTAAAGGAAGTAGCATCAAGGATCAAATGCCACTGATACTCATTCTCCCTTTATCAGCTTTACTACTTGTGCCTTTTGCACAGAAAGAAAGGTGAAGAGTCTTTGCCCAGCTTAATATATCTGAGCACAGGCCACCAGCCAAAACAGGTTTCTCTTCCCAGATACAAGTTTTGAATGGAGTGTCAGAGATAACTTGAGCTAGCTAAACCAAAGGTGAAGACATAGGAAAAGATCTTTCTACCAGAGCCTCTAATTTCTTCACTGAACAAGTCCCTGAACTTCTGGAGTAATACAGAATTTACCTAATAGGCTGGCTTTGATGGTTCTTACATATGAAGAAAAAAAATCTTTAAAGGAAAAAAACCTTTCCAATGATTAGACTGACCTCTCTGAAATTACAGACGAAAAGCAAATAAGAAATCTTATTCATATTAAATTTTGCTAAAATCAAATTAAATTGAAGAAAACCATGGAAAGTTTGAAAAATAGACCTCAAGACCTCAAAGGCTACCTTTCAAACTATATTGGGTTTTTTGCTTCATTGTTTTGGTTTTGGGTTGTTTTGTTTTGAGACATGGTCTCTAAACGTTTAAGCTAAACTTGAATCCATTGTGTAGATCATCCTGGGCTTGAACTTTGTTGTTATAAAGAATGAAAATCCCAAATATTCTATTTTACCAACAAAGACTCAGAGGTCAGATGCTGGGGTGAAAACTTAAGTCGGAGAGGCAGAGTAAGCACCCAGCTGACCCTACTCAGCTCAAGTCCTGATGAAAAAAGCCTTTCTTACTTAGCACACGTCCCAGAAAAAAGCCAGAAAGCCAAAAGCCAAAATCTTCCTAGCTCACCTGACTGCCCAGGAGGAAAAGCCAAAAGTTAAAAGCTAAAATGCCCAAAAGCCCAAAAACCAAAAGCTTGCTAGCTCAGCTGGTAACCCAGGAGGAGAAAGCCAAAAGCCAAACAGCTGCTGCTGCTTCTTTTTTCTTCCTTCTTTCTTCTTCTTCTTCCTTCTTTCTTCCTCTTCCTCCTACTCTTTCTTCTCCTTCCTCTTCTCCATGCTATCATAAATATTCTTTTCTCAAAGTCCCTCTTTCTACTTAATCCCTGTCATCTGGTTTCTTGCTCTGCTTCTTGACCTAGGGTTAACTTTATTAAACCCTGTACACAAAGCTCCATGATTAAAGGTGTGTGTTAGGGCAGAGCCACACCAAACAAAAAAAAAAAAAAAAAAAAAAAAAACCTGTTTTTTACAGTTCACAGCCTTGGGGTTCACAATGGGATCAAATATCCTGCAACAGAACTTGCAGTAATATAATCTGTTATCCTCCTATTCCTTCCTTGTGGAATAGGAATGTACCTTGTGGCATTGTATGTTAAAAGTGTATAACTTCAGCCTGGTGTGGTGGTGCATGCCTTTAAGCCCACCACTCAAGAGGCAGAGGCAGATGGATCTCTGTGAGTTCAAAGCCAGCCTGGTCTACAAAGCAGGACAGCCAGAGCTATTACACAGAGAAACCCTGTCTCAGAAAAAAAAAAAATTAATATATGTAACTTGCTGGGGCAGTGGTAGTACACACCTTTAATACTAGCCAGGAGGCAGAGACAGGCAGATCTCTGAGTTAAAAGCCAGCCTGGTCTACAGAGTGAGTTATAAGACAACCAGGACTACACAGAGAAACCCTGTCTGGAAAACAAAAAAATATTATATATGTCTGTATACGTATGTATATATAATTATATTATATATACATACATATATATAAAATGTTATATATAATATACATATGTGTATATATAATGTATATATTATATGTACACATACATTTTTTTAAAAAATTTTGCAGAGCCTCACAGTTCAGTGATTGTCCAAGTTTCAGCAGGGACTTTGAAAACGTGTTCAAACTGGGGACTTCTGAAGTTGAGCTGACTGTACTTTGCATGGAAATAGCATAAGATGATGGAGGACAAGGGAGAATGTTATAGTTTGAATGTAAAATGCCCTCACAGGATTGTGTATTTAAACCTTTGGACCTTTGGATCTGCTGGTGCTGATTCGGGAGGTTTGGGAAAGAGGGTCTGGCTGGAAGAAGTGAGTCAATGGCAGTAAGTTATGAGGTTATATCCCAGCCTTGATTCTGGCCTGCTGTCTTCTTTTACCCACCTAGATATGAACAAGCTCCTGTCTCCATGATTTCCTCGCTGTGATAAACTGTATTCCCTCAAAGAATGAGTCAAAAAGCATTCCTTTCTCAAGTGCTTCTTCCCAGGATAAGTAACAATTTGAAACTTTCCAAATAATAGTTCTTTTCTGAAAGCAGATCTGAGTCTTATCACAGGAGCACGTTGCAAACCTGCCAGTTTCATCCTCCCCCGTTTCCATGCCCTTGGAGTGTGACTTTGCAGTGGGATGTCCTCTGTTTCTTCCTTCTTGGCCATGTTCAGTCTGACCAGGAGTGATGCTGTGTCAGTTCCAAGCTCCAAAATGTTTGCAAGCGTCTGCTGTAGCACTTGGAACTTTGCCAGGCTCTTCAAGGACTAAGCCAAGGAATGCCTGCAGATAAGGAAAGATACCTGGTTATGTGTTCCCAGCCACCATCAGCCAAACCTTAGGTACTGACTTGCAGCTCAGTAAACATTTGCAAGCTTAGCCAAAATCAGAGTAGCCTCTGAGCTGAGCTCAGCATGAATAAAAACAGGAGTTAAATAGTTGCTGTGTTTAAATATGTAGTTTTTAAAAAAAGATTTATTTTTATTTTATGTGTACGGTTATCTGTGTACCACAGGGATGTAAGTATCCGCAGAGGTTAGAAGAGGGCATCGGATCCTTTGAAACCAGAGTTATTGATGGTTATGAGCCACCGTACGGGTGCTGGGAATTGAACCTGGGTCCTCTGGAAGAACAGCAAATGCTCTTAAATACTAAGCCATCTCTCCATCCCTTTGTTATGTTTTGATGCACAGCAAAAGCTAATTTTATAATATAACATTCATAGCAGATTTCATAATATAAACTGACTTTTAATTTTTTTTCTTCAAGATGGAAAGTACTGTTATGTATACATGTGACATTAATTTTTTTTCTTTTGAGGATAGATGGATTAAACCTAGGCACCCCAGTATATGTAAGAGAAATTCTCTACCACTGGCCGCTATCTCCAGAGCACTTTAAAATTCTTTTTATTTTATTTAATTTTATTTTTAAGAAAGTGACAGCTAGCCAGGTGTGATGGCACACGCCTGTAATCCCAGAACTCTGGGGAGCAGGGGCATGCAGATCTCAGTGAGTTCGAGGCCAGCCTGGTGTACAAAGTGAGTCCATGACAGCCAAGGCTACACAGAGAAACCCTGTCTCAACTCCCCACACACACACACACACACAAAAAAAAAAAAAAAAAAAAAAAAAAAAAAAACAAACTTGCAATACTTTACACTCTGGGAACTGAGGCAGGTGGATCTTGGTGAGTCTGAGGCCAGCCTGGTCTACAAAGTTAATCCAGGCTAGCCACGGCTACATATCAAAAAAAGAAAAATAATTAAAAAAAAAATGAGAGCTAGAGCGATGGCTCAGCTGTTAAAGTCTAAGCTCACAACCAAAAATATAAGAAAGTGTCTTAAGATGTCATAGATGGCCTTACTCTCAGGACTCCCCCTTTAGCCTCTTGGGCTATTTTGTATTGTGGGGTAGCTGTAAAAACTTACAGTTTAACAGAGTTTTAGCATTTAGTACTACAATACACCAGGAGAAAAGAACATATG